CCTTGGCATCAAAAACCGTGTCAGGTCCATTAACTTCTTTATTATGTTCTCCCCCACCTCGGGGGGAGACATATTGTTTTTTGCCCTGTCCGTCCGTCAAGTCCGTCCGTTCCGTCAGTCCGGTCCGGGTCCATTCTTCGTTTCCGGACGATAACTAGAGTTCCTTTGACCTACAGCTCTCAAATTCATAGGATGAATGGTCTTATTGAGCAGGATGATCCCTATTGTTTTTTGGGGTCAGTAGTTCAAAGGTCAAGGTCACCAGTGACCGTTGGGGTCAATTTCTCGTTTCCCGGATTCGATAACTAGAAGTTCCTTTTGACCTACAGCCCTCAAAACTTCATAGGATGATTGGTCTTTATAGAGCAGATGATCCCTATCCTGTTTTGGGGTCAGTAGCGGCTCAAAATGTAAAGGTCAACAGTGACCGTTGGTCAAAATTTCTCGTTTCCCCGGATGATAACCTAGAGTTCCTTTTGACCTACAACCCTCAAACTTCATAGGATGATTGGTCTTAATTAATCAAATGATCCCATTTAATTTCATTTGTGAAACTATATATGATATGACCATCAAGTGCAATTTTCGTTTGACGCCACCGCCTGCCCATACGCTGATTGGGAATAACCAGGATTTTTCAAAATTGACAATACCTGGTTTTAAAAACAAACAGTTTAGGAAAAGCATCTTCTCATACAACCTTAACAAACAGAAAATCCAACCATTCAGACAGCCTTCATTGAAGTGAACTTAACCGGGTATTATTTACATTATCTTATCTCCCATTTCCATTCCTGGTTTCCATTCACAGTTATTCTCAGCAGTGGGGAGACATGCGCTTTTTTACAAAAGCATCCTCTAGTTTGAAGTCGGATTTTTAAAACTATTTACAGAAAAATGAATCACCATATTGAGACGACGTGTCGCGCGCAACAATTTGGATCGCTACCCTTGAAGGTCAAGGTCACAGCATGACCTTGCAGCAAAATCTTTGTCCGGGCCCCCCATAAACCTTTTTTTTCCCGTTATTTTTTTTTGAAGTCAGATTTTAAAAATAGTTTACAAAAAATGATCACAATATTGGAATGACGTGTCGCGCCGCAACATTTGGGTCGCTATCTTGAAGGTCAAGGTCACCAGCATGACCTTGCAGCAAAATCGCCTTTGCCAGTAACTTCTTTCCTTGAAGTCGGGATTTAAACAAACTATTTCACAGGGATGAATCACCATATTTGAATCGACGTGTCACATGCAACATTTGGGGCGCTACCTTGAAGGTCAAGGTCAACAGCATGACCTTGCAAGCAAAATCGTGTCTAGCCTATAACTTTCCTTATTTTGAAGTCTGATTTTACAACTATTTCACAGAAATGATCACCATATTGAGACAATGTGTCGTGCACAACATTTAGGTTGTTTTTACACTTTGAACTTTGACTGTGACATAACTGACACTACAAGAGGTATACCTTCCTGTGTCCAAAACCTATTCGGGGAGCATCACCCGGTTCAACCGGCTCTTGTTAAATGATGTGTGACGATGCTTAATTATTTTGATTATTTCAATAAAAAATCCACATTTAATAATATTGTAACTGTCGCTGTTCTATCTTGTAACGTGACTCAAAATAAAAGTATGTGTTTTTTTTGTTGTTATTGTTGTTGTTGTTGTTGAAAAGCAAAACTGAAATTGATAAATAACTTAAAGTTCAAACCTAATAAAACTTTAAACTTACTTCAATTATTCAATTTACCAATTACCAAATATCGTCTCTAATTGTTTATTTTTAACAGTCTGTAAATTACACTTCTTTTATCATGCAAAACTGCTCTTGATGACAATTGGACATATAAAAGTATTATCTCTTATATATTTGTTAATTAGAGTCTCATCTACACATGTAAACATATATATACAATTATACAATAAAACATAAAATACATGTATAGCAATTCTAAATAGAATTTCTGGAGACTGTTTACTTGTAAGGGTGACAACTCTACAGCCCATAACACAGAGGTATACTGTTTTATGCACTTCAGATTTATTTCCCTTAGCTACACACATTTCCTACACGACAACATACTTTTATTTCACTTTCATATACATTTATATAAATATTTATATATATACTAAAAAAATAACTGACATTAACTGGATTTTCTCAATTTAATTCATTGCCTACCGTCAGGGCAAGTTAACATAAAACCATAGTAACAACGTCATTTGACGTTATTTGTGTACACATGTGTACGCAATGTAAAAAATGTTGACGTCATCAATTTTTGTTTAGTTTTGGTTTAAACACATTAATAAAATGAAGCTCTTTTGATAACCTAGCTGATACATCAGTTTTATAGAATTTGTAAAAAGGAAATATTTCCTTTTTACAAATTCTATAATACTGATGTATCATATATATGGTAATGATTTGTGATTAATCAGATCGGAGCACATTAAGATTAATAATGAAATTTTAGAATTGAACTACAAAATTATATATATCATTGATACAATATACTACGATGTACTATAAACACAAGGACAACAATTAAATAAAATGAATCCAACCTTTATTGATATCGGTTAAATAATCAAAACCATTTCACAGTTTGTTTACTGATAGAAGTAGTCTTTAAGTTATCTTATTGAATCATAAAGAGGGCAATATATCCATACAGTTTAGTTTAAGTTTAATCTTGTATTTAAGTTTCATCATTGTTCAATTCATAACATCTATACATACAATTTAAACATGCCATTCTAAAATAGATTTGTAAGAGACTACTTAGCATTATTTATGGCCTTTTACACACACCAACTCTTTATAATAAAAGTAAGATATTCAGCCACTTTATAACGTTACTAGGTAAAAATGATATTACCTTTTGCATTTGAAAAACCTAACACTAGAGTCTAGTAGCAATCAATTTTTATCACAAAGTATTACAAAGTATTACCTTATACAATGTATAATTTAAATATAATTTAAACATAAAGTAATAGCTAAAAACTTTACATAGTATTCAATAAAGTTGTGACAATGATAAAATTCAGTTAATAATTCAAATATATACATAATTTAAAACATTACTTTACAACTAAAGACTTACCGTATAGCATTTTTTCTAGTTTTCAAGATATTTTTACAGGTTTTTGCAGTTTTTCTTACCATATCTGGGCTGGAGAATAGATTTTTCTTCTAAATCATTTAACACATTAAAATTACAGTAAACGATATAAGTTTCATCACACATTATTTGTCTGTCCCTAACAAACATTTGGCATTTAAGCATAACATGGACCTCGGATTCAATACGATTAAAACACAACTGATATTTTCTTTGGATTTCAGGAAGATTTTCATATCGACATAACTCTAACCTTTTTGGTGCCAACCGCACCTAAACTTAGGGATGGCTAGATGTGCTTCTGTTTTTGTTCTACTTGTAGTCCATTTTATTTATTGTCCAGGTCAAGCAAATATAACTGGCAAGAAGAACTTGTTTGGTATGAGGAAAAACATAACACTTAGGTTGAATAAAGTAGGGCATTTATTGAATGCCATAAATGACAAATGATACACAGTAACAGACATGGAATGTACATATTTGTATCGAAATAACCAAACTGGGAGGTAACAACTGTTTAAAAGGGGACCTGCCGAGTCCATTATATTATCCTTGTTCAATACCTATTGGAGCTTTCCCAATTTACTTCTGACATGCCTTTAAGTTCCAATCCTTACACCTTTTAGTAGACAAATTTATTTGCCAACATGAACCTATTAAGTCTATTTGTATCCATTAAAGTGTTTCTACACCAACTTGACAAAACCTTGATGAGTACCTGAAAGGTTTCCAACCAATATCTCCAGAAGTTGCTGCATTTGGAGTATATCTCCCGACATTCAAAAAATAACGAGCAGCCTATTTTGTACTGCATCTAATGAGAGATTTTTTCATATCCTCAAAAATCTGAATCATACGTAATTACTGGTAAATCAGAAGCCTCAAGTTTTATACGGGATGTCTCGAAATGCTTTTATCCTTGAAATTAATATTCCGATACCTCTATGGACACACTTTGATTCTAATTTAGCAGTTATTGCATAGTCTTAATGTCAGGTTAAATCAAGTACAAGATACTGACACTGTTTAACATATTTCAATGATACATCACAAAAATTAAAAATAAATTCGGATCGAGAAACAGACTGATATCTGAAGTGTACAAAATTAGATTTAAAAGGATTGACACTCAATAAATATTTTTTTCTTTTCAAAAACAAACAGATATCTTCTATCTCTTTTTCTTTATTTGTTTCATAATGTTTTAATAATTATTATTGATCTTGAAGAAATAAGTGCTGAATATGAAAAACAATGTACTATAAAATTGTTATAAGAGTAGCAAAACTTAAACAAAGTGATTGACGCCAATACAGAATACTAAACCACTAAAACAATGCAACTGGATCGGCATTAATTTTAAATAAACGATATGAAATTTGATATTAACAGTTTATGCAAGATATGGCACTAAAACTGTCATGGGGCATTTTTAATTCGTCTGAACACTTTTTGTTTTATTTTGCTTTAATGATCAAATCAATGCATGCATGTGTAAACATTTTTCCACATTATAGGTTGACAAATTTCGATAATAATCTGTAATTAACGATTCAAAACTATAGGGTTGATACATCGTGATGACACCTCTGTTCCGTACCTAAAGTTATTCGACCCAAAAAGAAGCCAACATTTTAAAATCATTCGTTTTCATTCCAATCATGAGTATATATGTTAAAACTGAATAAATTATTAAACAGCATATGATAGACAAGGAATTCTTTTGTCTGATTTCCAAACTAAGCTATATAGATATATAGTAACATTTTTCTGCTAATAATGCCAATCTGAATTAAGCATGATTTTATTATCACATTATGAGTCTTACCGTTATATCCGTTATATCTCATTAAAATGATTTTTTTCAGGTCTGACATGGAAGCCTTGGAGGGAACCATACGAGAACTTCAAATGGAACAAAGAAGTGAGAAATACATTTTTATTATTAATCTCTAATAAGTATAGTTAATTTTATGTCAATACGTTTATTGGTGTTAAACAACAAATAGTTGTGTACTCGTGACATCGCAAGTCATAACTTAAAATTAAAAATGATCATTGGTATTCTGTTAGGCTATTTTTTCCATATCACTAACCAAAATAAGTAATTATATCTTTCAGACAGCAGAGAAACTTCAAAATGATGTATACGGTATAAAACCAACAGCCGAGTCGGGTTTGAAAAAGTTAAAAGCCCTAACAATTGGCCTATGGGGGCATGGAAAGGCCTCATTGATCAACTCATTTGCTTCTATAAGTGTAGGCGAAAAAACTACTGTTTGCGATGCTTCTTCGGCGAACACACTTGTTACCACACATGTGAGTTTACAAAGTACGATCCAGAATTACCCGAATGCCCATTAGATGACCCTTGATTTTCATGGTGTCTACGTAACATCAAAACTGTAAAGAATTCAATGTTTCACCTAATTGAACGCCAAATAGTACTTAATGCCGTTAAGTACTATGTAAATCCATTTTTTTATTAATCATGGCAACCATACACCGGCGCAAGTTATAGAACGCGACGTACACTGAAAATTGATATAACACTTAAGTGCTTTAAACAAACATTGATTTTGTCAACTTGATAATACCTGAATACCTTCAAGTATACATTTCCCATCTTTTGAGCTCTGAATTGTTGTCAGGTCAAGCCTCGGTTGTTTGCAAATGCAACATTTATTTCCTCGAAGACGTTATCATCAAAGTGTCTAGAAAACATAGCTATCATGATCATTTGCCGTTAGTTTGGAAAGTTCCCTTTAGGCACATCAAATATGATAACAAAATAACCCCGAATATGAATCTAGTTACATTTTGTATTATAAAAAAATGCTGTAACACAATGCCGAATGTGTAATACAATCTTTGCGGCGATATGAATGTGCTAATCATTATGTGCTTAATTGTTATAATTTTTGTTTTGCATATATATTATGCATTAATGTAGTATCTGTAATATGAACTGGAAATAAATATTACTGAATCTTAATTTCGGCTAATTCTGGATTGGTTTTTAATACATTTATACAAGTATATATAATGTAAATACAAGTAAATAACAAACATATTAGTTTTGCATGATACAAAATGGTGAGTTAGAACGAAAAACGAGTCTTATAGAATTCATCCGCTTTGGCAAAAAATATGGTTTATCTTAAATAAATTGATATTTAGAATAAATAGGTATTATATACATATATAAAAAACTTAAATAGAGTAGATTTATAGTTTTTCAAGTAGATATCTTAATAAAAATTTAGTTTGACTGCATTTTGTAAAATATAATAAGTTTGTGTTTGTATCTTCTTTCGGAAAACGACTCCCAACTATTTTCTTTATTTAGAGTTTCTATTGGGATAAGCTCGGTTTCACCATTTGCAATGCATACACATTCAGTTTGTATCTTTTCTACTTGTTCGAGTTCATATTGGGTACAACTGCACCAAATTACATCTAAATATTCCAAAATTAATCTAACTGATACTATACAGATAATTTCAAAAGATTTACAATACAGGGAGTATCGCAATTTACGCATTACATTTACCCCTTTCCAAGCGTTATCCGTTGTGAATTCAATATGTTTGTTCCACGTACAATCAGCAGAAAGAATGATGCCTTAATGTTTGTGTTCAGAAACCTCTGGAATTGGCTGATTGAACGTATGTAATGAAATATTATGTTGACGATTTCGCTTTCGGTTATAAGTCGAGATTCTGACTTTGATTGATTGAAGGTTACTAACACCTTTCTGCCCATAAAGAGAATTGTTGGTCGTCAGACTAAAAAATGTGGCTGCTGTTGCATCAGACTTGTATAACTAACAAAGTGGTGTATAAAAGATTCAATTGTATTAACAAAATATTTTACAAAGATCAAGAGTTGTATTGAACCTTGTATAGATGTAATTCTGCTTCGACAAAAGCCAAGGATTAGTAGGCACCAGATAATATGAACCTTTGTTTTCTATCAGTGTAGTACCTGTTTTCACAAAATAACAAAGATCCAGTTATACCTGCGTGTTTCAGTTTCGATAAGAAGTTTATATGACAATTCCTAAGAACACCACACTAACTTTAAGACCATTGTCTAGAGATTTACAAAGGGGATCAAAGATGAAGGCAAGCTGATTTATTGTGTAATCACCAGGGATAATACCAGACTGTGCAGTAGACAAAGACTTCTTAAACGGACTTCGTGATACGGAATAAATTTGGGGATTTTCTCAAAGCATAAATGAAAACAAAAGATCAATAAAACTGTAATACATCGGAGTTTACATGTATATGCTAGTTATAGTATTTCTATCAATCATCAAGACATTAAAGATGGAGACAATATAACCATTATCTATATAAAGATCCAATAAAAACAAACAGACAAACGAACAAAAATAACAAGTTGCTTCATTTATATACTCTATTGAAGTGTTTATTTTTCAACAAATGACTAAGAAGTGATGTTTTCAAGATATATTAGTATGTGTTGGTACATGGTGTGGAAACAGGACTAAACGTTAAATTCATCATCTGTATAATATGTAGTAACGCTTCAGTTGGAATTGCACGAAATATCGAGTGTAAGAATTGTACAAAGGTCGCCATCTGAATTCAAAATAACTTATGTGCTTATAGGGAAAGAGGTGACTGTAATAAGACTAGAATTGTTATTGTGGCTTATCCATTGGTCGCAATATTTCGTGTGATGATCAATCTATTGCACCAACTGCGTGATACAGTTTATTCCAGTCGGTACATTTACTAAACCTTGATCTATGGTTGGCCAAGTGATGTAATTCATAAATGATATGTTGAATGCATGTATAAATATGCGAATTTCAACATGTACATAAGCTGTGCACACATTGAATATGGTGGCAAGTGTTACAATTAAGGGTTGGGAAACAACGTATCCATATCACAAACGATACAATTATATTTACTGGAGACAGTTTGTGGCGACTTTAATTTCTAAGGTTATGATATGTTACATAGCTATTAATGTTTCTGATGCGTTATAAGTTAGATTATAGAAATTGTACTCATTTTCTGAGAAAATTTGGTAAAATGTTTCTTCGGAGTATATAATTGAATCATTTGAAAATAAACGGTTGCGTATATCTAGTACAGAGTCTAGAGGTTTTATCATTACAGCAACTAAACATGACTGTTCACGGCTGATATATTCTGAAGCATATTGCGGGGACTGAACTAAAGCAGGAAGTGATGCTAAAAGTATCCTTCGCCTGCTAGCGTTCATACTGAAAATCTAAATACAATGCAAACAGTATAGTATTGCATGAAAAGTAGCACAATTGACGTCTAACATAACAAAAATTTTAATGACATACGTATAATAGCAATGGACAGGTTTACCGATTTAAAGGTATTATTGTTAGAAAATCTGCAAATTTTGAGGAACTAGGGGTTAATGTTAGCCGGTAGAGCATAATTATGTTCTATAATTGTATAATTTTAACGCTCGACAATTTCGTGCAATTTCACACTGAAGCGCTACTATATTGTATAAATACTTTAGTAACAAATATACATACGACGATGATGTTGGGGGACATAATAAAACTCTGCAGCCCGCAGACGGTCAGAAAGAACTACAGGTTGACAACAATATTACAGGTTGACAACACTAACGATGAGAGAGCAGTTCAGCACTTATTGCGGGCTGTTTCAAATGTTGCAGCAGGTCAACGTAATTGACTGGCTTAACGCAGGAGGTATAGGTGATCAAATATGAGAAAATCAGATTCTCTACAGGATACCCCCCCCCCCCAATAAAAGAAATTAAAAAAAATAAAAACTACTCGAACTTGGCATCAGCAGTGACAGCAGTGATGACATTTACCTTTTGCCCTGCTTTCACAACACTCAACACTTAATGGCATGTTGGTCTTTGGTTTAGAAATAGCGCTACAATAACTCTAAAATAAGAAATTTGTATTGTATTTTTTCTCTTTTTCTGTCTTATATAAATTATGGTTATATTGTCTCCATGTTTAATATGATGTGCTGCATCACAGTTCTTATTTCCGCGCATTGATGTTTTGAGAAAAAACCCAAATTATTCCGTATTAAGAAGTACGTTTACGAAGTCCGTTTTAGATTAAAAAAAAAAGTCTTTTGGAACTTAACAACATCGAAAAGAAGCAATAATAAGTCACACAAGGGGATATATTTCTTGAGAAGCTTCATGTATTATAATTCTACAGCTTTTACCATCAAATCAACTTGTTACAAAAGAAGAAATCTCTTACTTCATAAGGGCTTAGAACAATATAATTGAGACAGAAATGCGGTGGACTTAAGAAACGTGGATCTCTGTTGTCATCGTTAATAGACATTTGTTCTATAAAAAAATTATTCTTAACGTTATTTGTGAAAACAGTGTATCTGCTTAACTAGACTATCAGTGGTGGAATGTAACATTTTAGCTCACCTGTCACAAAGTGACAAGATGACGTTTTTGTGGTCACAATTGTTCCGGTGTCCGACCGTCGTTCGTCCGTAAACTTTTAATTTAAACGACATCTTATAAAATGCTGGGCCAATTTGATCCAAACTTCACAGGAATGTTCCTTTGGTGGTCACCTTCAAAGGTTGTTCAAAGAATTCCATGCAAAGTTCTGGTTGCCATGGCATCGATATAATTTTTCTAAAATCTTCTTTTCAATAACTCAAAATAGCTATAGTTTGGATATTAAGCATGAAACATCTTCTAATGGGTGTCTACCAAGTTAGTTCAAATAATAGCTCTGGAGTCAGAATTAGCCCCGCACCAGAGGTCATTGTTTTTCCTTATATATATTTTTCTTATGTAAGAAATAACTTTAAAACACCTTATTTTTAAAAAGCCAAATAGCTTGAGTTTAGATATTAAACATAAAACAACTTCTTTTTAGTGTCTACTTACTTTGTTCAAATAAAATCCCTGGGTCAAAATTGTTCCCACCCCGGAGGTATCATTGATTTTCCAAATATGTATATAGTAACAACTTTAAAAATAATTATTAAAAAAAACCAAGGAGCTAGAGATAAGATATAAAGCATAAAACCTCTTCTTATTGGTGTCTACCAAGATATTCAATTTAAGGCCCTTGGGTCAAAATTGGGTCCGCCGAGAATCTTCTTTTTAAAAAGAGCGACAGCTTAAATATTAAGCACGAAAAATATTCCAATGGGTGTCTACCAAGTTTGTTCAAACTAAAGCTATGGGGTCAAAATTAGCCCTGCACAAGGGGGTATTGATTTTCCTTATAATAAATTATGTAAATAATGTAAATTGCTAAAAAGCAACAGAGCTAGAGCTTATATATTTAGTATGAAAATCTTCTAGTGAATGTCTACCAAGTTTGTTAAAAAAAAAAGGCCCTCGGGTCTAAATTGGCCCCGCCCCGTTGGGTCATTGATTTTCCTTATATGTGCCTATGTTTTGAAACTGTTGTTTTCCCTTAAGAATTGCAACCTGTAATAGTTTACACATGCACTTTTTCAGATACAAGTATGAACATTGTGATATCAGTTTAAGATTTAAATTTTATATGCGCTTTTGTTTATAATTCACAATATTACTTGTTTCTTGTCATGGAGAGTTTTTATATTTCAGGGCCATTATTGCTCTCTTGTGTTTGTTGATTATATTATTTATTTATTTATTGTTGTTCAAGAGTTTACAAAAACAGTTTGATCCGGCCTCCCGTATCAATAATATTGTTTTATTCGAATGTATTTGAATCTTTGCCAGTAATAATGTTAGTTAGTCATTTCAACTTTCTTATACAGATATACGTATATTTACGTATTTGAAACGGAATTCCATGTATCCTGTTCCAGAAAATGATCCCAAACGCCCGGATAATTAATATTATTTTTGTTTGAACAAAAACAAAGGTCGAAAATAGATTTTAAATGTTCAGTGTAATGTATTGGCTCGTCGATTAGTTTGATAAAATTGAATTGTTGAAGCAGAGATGAAATTTTGCGGTTTATTTCTCTTTATTTAATCGCCACATCAGCGTTGTGTTGTGCCGCGTGAAGGCTGTTAAAAGTCGCCCCGTACATTCAATCAGGGATGTTATATTTCCGAAAGATCGTTCACCATGGCATTATTGTTGTGCTTGTGGTATTTTAGTTCTTTCCTTTCGGCATCTTTCTTGTTGGGTGGTTCCAGTATTTTCCAATTGAAAACTGTTGAATCACCCTTAGGATATGTGGCTTGCTTTTTAAATTTGTCTTTAGACGTCATATATGTGATATGCAGGCTTCATAACCTCATATCCCCTTTCAATATTCCATTTTATTTAGCTCCGCCCATTGTTTTTTCGTTTAGGACACACGCATTTTTTTTAATTGGGGACCATATGCCGCTTTTCATGGAATGGCACTAACGTGTCACATTGAAAGTTCCATGATAACTGTCATTTAAACTCATGTGCGGATGTTTCAAAATTCTAAATTTTACCAGTTCATGTTAAATGTTAAATTCTTCTTAAGCCGGTACAAGGACTCGTGGACAGTAATTTGCACTTGACAGTACCGTCCATGAACAGACTCAATCAAACCGAGCCTGCAACATTTTCAATGTTACCGTTTTGGGCTTTCTTTACGGATTCTTTTTTCTCTCTATTTTATCCCTCGTATAGGTTTATTTCTGAAACATGCCCTATGATCAAAAAATATATAATTTGATTAAGCAGATCGTTAGTGTAACAGTTGAGTGTACATTAACCACAATGTAGTCTAAATATACTTTTAAAACTCCAATGTGGCATGACATTTTGGTTACAAATTGTTTTTAATCAAAGACATTTGGTACCAGTCAGGTCTTGCGAATGATGAGCAGATTAAACACAATGGGATATTTGAAGAATGTGCCCCTATATTGCCTCAAGAGGATATAATGGTCGCTACAATCTACAATTATAAATGCACAACACTGAGTGACATACCAGACAACTTAAAATGTTTATATTTCAGTACAGAAATGTTATTTTTCCTGGTCCATTGGAACACTTTGTTCCAGGTGAAATTTCTGTAATTCCAAGGGAAAAGTATGTTCATACATGTGTAGAAAATATCAAACTTATTCTACAAGGACATATCAAAGGTGGATATCAGGTAAGTTTTCATTTTCAAATAAATGTGTAATAAATTACCGTTTTAGTTAGTTCCTTACAAACACTCAAAACCAGTTTAACAGTGAAATAACTAAGGTCACATATCTATGCCTAAAGCTTTTGACTAGATATATGCAATGTCATAGTGACTGGGCTTTATATAATTTTCTTTGATGCATGACACATCTGGGATACTAACAATAAAATCTTGTTCTTTCTTTCACGAAACGCAGTTTAATTCAGGGAAAAGAATATCACCTGAAGACGAGTATTATGAATCAACACCAACATTTTCGGATAGGATTCATTGTGTAATGATTGTCGTCGACAGTACAAATGCGTGCGACCTTCCCGCAAACTTTGTATTCGGCGTCAAGGCGATCATGCAAACCATACATTCAATGAGTATGTTTATGTTGGTCTTAAATAAAACTTAAACTTTAGAAATTCGGTATATTTTTTCAAATTTGCAATTTGAGACGAATAGTCTCTTGTTTTCTTTTTTCTATTTTCGATTACACTGAAAAGACACAATACGATATTAAATTCCAAATAAACACCGCTCCACATCCCCACCACAACCCTAAAAATATAAATAATATTAAATATTTGAAACAGCATACTTTCACCTATCAATCTGCTCCCTATGTAGAACATACATACATTTTGATTTGGGAGCATGTGTGCGTGACTTTAAAGATCAAACATTTCACACAGTTATACAAAAAACTGACCAAGTGAAGATTAAAAAGGTGGAAGCGATAAAAACAAGCAACTTATTTGAAAATTAGAAATTCGGTTTAAATAATTATGTTTTGTCAATGCAACTTACTTGACTGCTTGTTTAAAGCATTTTACAATACTCATTTGGAATTTAAAGCGCAGCGAGTTTTACAATCAATTAAGGATGATAAGTTTATTAGTATTATGTTTAGCAAATAATATCCCATCATAATTATTGAAAAACATCTATAGTGGATTATCTAAATTATAACAATTCTAAGCTTAAGGTGTTAGTAAGATCATTTTGCTATTCATCTGCGGAGACCAAGTAATTTAAATTGAGAACAGTTAAATTATATTTGATCATTTGACTGTGAAGTTGAGAAAACTTTCATTTATACTCAACTGTTATCTTTTATATTCTATAGAAAATCATGTGATATATTCTTTCATAATCTTAAAAAATGCAAAGAATACAAAGAAATTGAAGCTTGTAGTAAGGCCCTATACTGCTTTGAAACTGTATTTACTTTATTTTAGATATCCCTGTGATAGCCGTTCTTACGAAAGCTGACATGTTATCAGAGCATGTTAAATACAGCGTAGAGTCAATTTTCCGATGTAGGAAAATGCAACAGGCTGTTCAAAAGGTATCTAAGCAACTAGAAATTCCCGTTTCAAAGATATATCCTGTTGTCACTTTTGAAGAAATGGATCACTTTACTTGGAGAGAGGCAATTCCAATATTGATTGTCTTGAGATCCCTTCTTCGTATGGCACAAGTGCATTCACGCAATGCTGATGAGGTTGAAGTATGAGTAAACAACCACAGTGCTTAAAGTTTGTTTCAAAACCTCTGAACAGACGACATGCATATGTTTCATTTTTGTTTATTTGTTTGTTTGTATGATTTGTGAAATTGTGAGTTTCGTGAAAATGTGATGTTGAAAACTATAACATCTTGTCAAATGATAAACTCGTGTCGAAGTTACAGAACAAATCCCTCAAATATAGTCACATTACGAATAAATAAATTTTAATGTTTCTTTTAAAACAAAACACATGCTATCTAAATTTATTTATTGATGGTTTGAGGAATTGATTTTATGTAGTGTATCTTTATTTTCATCCTTAATGTTGTTTTTTTTTCCATTCACATTATTTGTATTTATGTTTTTGATTATATGTCCGAAGACGTTAACATTGCAAAAAAATGTATAAATGAAAATCTGAACTTACAAAGTGCTTCACAGACCGATTCTTTAGTCTGATTAACACTATTAGAATGAATCGTACTATAAAAACACTCCCTTCACTGTATTATACATTTTAATATTATGAAGGGATTGCATATAAAAATAACAAATGCGTATTCTTGTCATATGAAGCTCTTTTCAATTACAAGCTGTGGTTGTAAACTTCTTTTTATTGCTTGATATAAAAAGCAGAATATTTATATACGTAAAAAGGGACACTTCAAGTATAAAATATACCTTTTCAAAGAATAAGTACATGAAATGAGAACGTTTTCTTCATGCCTTTATTCATAATCGATCATTTTGTATTTTCATATTTTTAATTAATTTACAGAATCCCAATTAAGATGTATACCCATCGTTGATATCCTTTGTATGAAAACAATAACTAGCAAAACAAATAACTTTCTAATTTTGTGTTTTATGTTTGCTGTTAACAATATACTGTTCTCATCTTGGAGTAAAATACTTTTATTGCAAAAAATTATTGAAATATTTTTATTCTTCCTGAATATGCCTTATTTAAATTGAAGAATGTGTTAAATAAGCTGCATTCCGTATCACTTGTCAACTTTATTTGGTCTTTTCTTATAACAACTGCCAGTTTTGTTTTTTCAATGTCAATATGCAATCAATCTGTGGTTACCTGTAGTATGTAGAGTTTAAACGGCAATATATCTTCTCTATTTTATCAAACATTACAGTAACTATCATGGTTTTTTTCAAATATAAAGTTTGCGCATACTATATCTTTAAAAGATATGACCTTATAAATATATTGATGTTAACATTTTCTAATAGTTTTATGTTTAGCCAACCATCAATTTATATTAATAATACATTTTAAAGCAGTTGTTGATAACACTACAATAACTGATTTTGCTATGTGTAGGAGAGGTTCAAACTTAATTATGAGTATGTATGAAATCACTTCTCATCAGTTTTAGTTTATTTGTTTGGATTCAAACACTAACACTTTTGAATAAATTCACAATATTGAATTTACAATAGTTCGGAGAAATTATTTTTTTAAGGAAATACCATATAATATTAATGTTTGGGTTCTTGTCTTAACTTTTGTAAACTGTTCCTTTACACACTTTTTCTTCTGTAGACAAGTGTTATTTTTATATCCGCAATTGTCACTTATCGATAAACATGTATTTGTTTATATTATTAAAATGATTGTCTTTTCGTGTGATTTTATCTTAATTTGAATGAACAATCGTATTGTGATAATAATATTAAATACAGCTGCAACTCAAGCAAGTATTTAAATTTTACATAAAAACCCTTATTATGCTTACAGACAATGATAAGTTACGTACACTTTCAGAAATATAAATCGATAACCTGCCTGTTCAAACTTTAAAATCGTAAAACTTGAAGAAATGAAGGAACAGATTGAAAAGTGAGGTGTATTTCAGGTCATAGACTATAATGGCACATTTACGTCATATGTTGACAGTATATTATATTTCGTTAAATAATTTTATGTCTTTATATATTATATCTTTATGTTTATATATTCATTTTCTTTTTTGTTTCAGTAAAAGTTATAGAACTGTATAAACCTCTTTTTCACTTTTTCATTTCGTCAAATAACGTTTTATAAAATGATTTAATATCTGACTCCTGGATACACACAAATGCATCTTACAAATTCTCTATCAGCTTATATGGGATTCACACCGAAAATATCAATCCATAATCACAGGAACTAAAACTTGAAATATAAAAATTTCAAAACTTTTACTACTATGTAAATTTGACCTGGGCAAGTTCGAAAGTCACTCATCAAATATGTTAACTGCCTTCCTGATTACGTAATTTTTACTATAATTGTGCCAATTATTGTCTTTCTGACTATATTTGCTGTTTTTATGCGCATGCAAAAATTTTGACATTTAATGTAATGTACATAGTTGTCCGTCCACTATCTGTACGTACCTCTTCTGTCCGTCTGTTAACTGATTTCGTGTCCGATCTGTATCTAACCGGTGAAAGGAAATTGAAACTACTTAGCAGAAACCTTTACCATAATGAGACGATGTACAGAGCGCAAGTTTGACCACCTTTCTTTTGTCATGATAACACTTAATCGTTTGTTTTAATTTCAGATTTGTGCGTCCGCATTGTATCGTTTGAAGAAAGAAATTAAAATTTTTATGCAGAAATATTTTAACCTAAAATGAGGCGGTATGCAGAACACAGATTAGGGCTTCCTGAGACCAAAATTGGCCCGCCCTTAGGATTAATTGATTTATTTATATACACTAATATAGATAGTTTTGCGTTCGGGCAGAAAAACGACATTGAAACAGAAATTTTGACAATAATAATAAAATGTGAAGAACGCAGGTTTGACCTTCCTCAGGTCAAGGTCAAGATCACATTAAATCATTTTGTATAATTTTCAGAATTGTTTGTTCGCTCTGTATCTTTTAAACCGATTGTGGGAATTCAATCTATTGGGCAGAAAAATAGATATTAATGAGATGATGTGCAGAGCGCATGTTTGGACTTACTTGGGTCAAGGTCACAATGACTCATTCGAAATCCTCATATAAATGTATATATCACAAAGGGAGATTACAATTTATAAATGTAATGCTATGTTTCCTCCCAATATATATATTAATGTTACCTCCGTTTATTTCATTAACTCTATCACTTTACAGTGTTCTTTTTTATCAAACTTTATAGATGTAGATTTTTTCTGTCCCGATTGAAATTGTTGAGAAGATGACAAGTTTTTTTAAATGAGATAAACTTAATAATAAAAATGATGTTACTTAATATATAAAATTCACTAGATAACAATAAGTTGTACATGATACACATAAAATGTCATTTTTATTTTTAAAGCAATCCATGAATGATGTCTGGAATACTAGCAGTTGTTAATTTACAATGTTACCTCTGGTTTTGCCATATTCGAGGGCATCTTTATGTATATTCATCTGGTTTCTGGATTATTTCCAACGGGTACAATTTGTCCATCGGTCGTGTAGTCAGCCCTGATGATGTAATATCCTCGCGGTCCCCGAAAAACCATCATTTCCGATTAAAAATTCATCAACTGTAGCAAGGTTCCATTGACGCCTGGGTGTAAAGGCGTCTTGGACAATAAAAGCGTCACCAACTTGAATAGTCTGGTATGTGATACCACTTGACAGTTAGTATTCTCTTAATGACGTTTCCACGGTGCCAGTAGTGGTGCATTAACTCCTCACGTCGTCTAGCACGTTGCTGGACAACGTCACTGTTGCTATGGTAACCAGGCGTATCGTTGGTAACCATAGTAATATAGAATTAGTTGTAGTCCATCGGCTAGCCGTGACTGCTGAATGGTGGTTCTAGTTCTGTTCGTGAAGAGCGGTTGATATTGTCAGTGTCTACGTCCCTGGCGAAATCCGATAAAACCTGAATTTCTTATATTTCTGTAGTTGTCGTTTTAAACGAATGTTGTACATACCGGCTTCCTTCATTTCCTCTGCTTTATTTTTGGCATCAATCTTCTTAAGAATATATGAATCAGTACTCGCCAATGAAAGCATAATGTTTTCGATTGTTTTGATGGGAAGTTGTATAACTTCTGTATTATTTACTTTAATTGCATTTTTGACTTCCTGCAATTGTTTTGCCAAAGTAGCTCTGTGACCCTCTCTAATTGCTTGTATTTTATGAAGATTCATGGTAGCCTCGGTTCACGGCACCATAAAATATAAGGACGTGATCGTGAGTAAAACTAGGCTTTGTGTACGGTTCGTTTCCTTTATTCAAACTCAAATATTTACATGCATAGGAAGTGAAGTCATGTTAATAACAATTAAACAAAGATTTCGTTAAGTGCCGTCGCGCCAAATCTGCAACAGTCTTTCTCTACTTGAATGTGGGTTAAGTGACTGATATAAAGACGTTGTTCCAAAAATCATTTCATTGATATCAAAAACTGACTATGCCTAGTGGGTTTGGCGGATTATATTTTGGTGTTTTTAGGCCCGTTTTGTGATGGAGAGTGGCTTTAAGGTAGAACGATCAGTTTTGTACAAATAATGAACATTAAATTAGTATGTGTGTAAGAATTGATGTGATATATTTAAAGGGAGGTAATAAAAAGAAGAACATTATTTGTAAGCATATCTTGATTTTGATTATTTTTAAGCATACTTTTTGTGCTTTTGAATTTCTGGTATACTAGTATTTAAGTTTCTTTGATGAAAACCAACATTATTATTGTTTTCAGTCAGTATATATTCTCCGTAACATTTCCATGTAAGTAAATTATGGCCCTCAAAGGGCATGACTGGTGTACTCGACAGCGAAAGCTGTAGCATATATAATTATCTCTAAGTATTCATTTGACATGATCTTAAGCATGTATCCATATATATCGATCTTTATATTGATAACTGAAATAAAACACATTCTGTAACGATTGTTATAATAGATCTTCTTTCTTTAAAAATTACTTAAAATTTTACTTAGTTATGCTAAACACAAATCGCATTCAGGTGTATTTTGCCATGTCTATGCGGTGTTCTTGTTTAGGCATGTTATCCTACGAAATTGGATTAATATTATTTATAAAATGTTAATCAAACGTTTGATTGTAA